GGGGGGGGGGGAGAGTCAGCTTGCGGCCGGCGGGATCCCAGCCTGAGTCGGGCGGTGGGGGTATTTGGCAGCGAGGTACTAGAGCTAGTACAGACCTATGTGGCCCAATAGAACAAGCAGATAAAGACGGGTACAGATATACAATAGCATTTACTGATGATTATAGTGGGATGATATTTCCCTACTTTATCAAAGCAAAGAGTGATACAGCAAAAGCTATTGAAAAATGTATATGGAAACATTAAGTGCATAAGATCTGACAATGGTACTGAATTCACCGGGCATGAGTTTCAAACTTTACTTAGGACGAAAGGGATAAGGCACGAGACAAGTGCCCCCTACTCACCTCACCAGGGGCCTCATGTATAAAGCCGTGCGTAGGATTGACGTGGGAAGGTTGCTTACGTAGTAGAAATCCGAAAAATAGGTCCATACATTTTCCGCCACTTTCCGATTCACCAAACATTGCGTACCGGCGAGGAAAGTGCGTATGGCACTTCCTACGCCGGTTTCCCTTTATAAATCACAACCGACTCGAAATGCGGTGCAGCTTTTGCGGGCTTCACGTAACGCCCATATTTGCCTATAAATAGTCAAAGAAACGCCCTTTCATTCATTCATTTTGACTGACTGCATGGAGAAGATCGCAGGAAATGACGACAGAACAGAAATAGAAATGCAAAACGGCGTCAGTTTAGACGTAATTCTGTCCTCCTGCTTACCGCATCATTTATGAGAAAACATTTCATAACATTAACACAACATATTCGAGGTGGTTTTAAATAACATATCCGTATTTATTTATTTCTCCCAGTTATGTTTTTGTGTGCACTGAGGAGTCTCAAACAGGCGTTTGTTAAATAATTTTAAAATTATTTAACAAACGCCTGTTTGAGACTCCTCAGTGCACACAAAAACATAACTGGGAGAAATAAATAAATACGGATATGTTATTTAAAACCACCTCGAANAGAGGTGGGGCGGCGCCCCTAGCGCCCCTATGGGTCGGCCGCCACGGATATTATGATTTGTCTGAGTCTGACTATCTGCGTTACTTGTGGTGATACATTTGACCAGCCTATGTTTCAGGACTTTCCCTGTCTCAGGATAAAAGACTTGGAATGCTGGGCTATATTTGTCGTATCCTACAAAAATACCCTTTGCACATCTAGAATCTAGCTTCTTCTTATTCTGCTTATACCCAAAGCATTCAGAGCCACATATTTCCATGTTGGACAAGTTGGGTGTTTTGCCAGTAAAAACATGGTATGGTGTCTGCTCTAGACGCTTACAGTAACACCTGTTACGTATCTGTGCTGCTGTCTGTACAGCATATGTCCATAACTGCTTTGGGAGGTTACTCTCTAATAGCATGCATCGTGACATCTCAAATAAGGTCCTCCACCCTCTCTCAGCAGTACCGTTCTGGTGAGGTGAGTATGGGGCACTTGTCTCGTGCCTTATCCCTTTCGTCCTAAGTAAAGTTTGAAACTCATGCCCTGTGGCTATACTATCACTTCTTTTCGTCCAACCCCGTTTTATGAGGCTCTCGTGATGCGGCCCCTGTTCCTGTTTGGTGCTTCAGCACTCGGGATATGACACTTTGAGTCAGAGAGAGAGTGTTTCGTTCGTTGCTCTGCCCAATGACTTAAATATAATAAACTCGCCTCTGTAATATAGTGCAGAAACTATTCCGGCTTCTTTTATAGTGCACTGCACAACGTCTAACGGTACCATCATTCCCCAATGGCCTGAGTATAGATTGGGCAAACGAGCACGTGCAGTGAGTTGGTTGCTGGTAGATTTGCAAGCCGCGTTAGCTTTCGATTTGACGCCTCTGATACCTACGTGACTGAGGCTTGCGGTGTCCGGTTGTGTTTTGGCTTTTTTGTTTTGTGGTCTTCTGTTTTTATATCTCTGCTTTCTATAGAGCTGTACCTTACGCCTGTGCTCCTCGCCGCGGAATATCTCCTGATTGCGCCCCGTCTTTCCTGTGGCTCCTCCACTGTCTCCCATTCTTCTACCTGAATCGGCTGTGACTTACGATGTGTAAGCCTTTCTACCCCGTATACGATCCTGTACGAGGGGAAGTTTGGGCGGGATTGCTGCGAGGTTCGCTCGCGGTCTCTGCTCGCTGCTTACGCCCTGTGCGGTGTGGCTCCTTCTCCGGTTTCCGTCTCCGACCTGGCACTAGTCCTACTTCTTCCGTCTGCCTCTGTGCCTCCTTACTATGGCACCGTAGTAAGAAAGTTTTATGCGCTCACTGACAGTTTTAGTTCACCCTTTATCCTCTCCAGAATATCCAGCTGACAACCACGGTGCTGTGTGTACAATTACTGGGCCGTTTTCAAATTCTGTTAGTTATTCTCGAATCTGGACTCCTGGTACGACTATCTCGGACCGTCTACCTTTGCTTTTGCTGGCCACTACGCTTCATAACTCTCCTCTTCGCTTCTGAAAAGACGAGCTGGTCGCTGCCTGCCGTAACTTTGCTCGAGTTTGCTCGCGAAATGTAGGTAGACAGGTGTCCTGTAAAAGAGGACACTTTCGTCGCTGTCGGTCGCCGTCGACTCAAGGCGAAGTCTGTCCGACTACTACACGAACTAAGTAGTTTTTACCCATGATTCAAGATTTTATCCTCACTATATCACGGATATAATGGAATCGTGTCATACTCCAACCTTTATGACTACTACAAACAATTACCAACAGTACTAGTAGGTCTGTACCGCTATCTTATGAACCAGTACATTAAACTCCTACACAGATTTGACTCTTTCACATATTTTCCATACAGCTAGTTGTTCCCTTTGTACTTGTACAGATTTGGTATTCACACTTTATACCATGCGTCCCATTTTAAATGAGTTTCGTCTTGTCCTTCCGTCTACGTTTTCGATGCTGTACAATGATCTCGCATCATGTATGTACGTGTTGGATACGCCAGGTTATCCTTGGTCGTCTATTTCTGCCATGTCTAGTACGTTAATCGTAAATGACTAACTAGATATCACCCTACTTTAAAAAGGTGATGAAATAGTTTCGTTTCTCGACTATGTCGTTTTTCCGATGACTTTCTTAAAGTGATCACCTATGACGAGGTACATACCTGTGTAATTCATGGCTGACGTATTCTAGACTGTTGTGCTATAGACTANAAAAATTTTGTTTAGGTTTTGACTTGATGATGGCTAAAATGTGATGACTATTTTTTTCTGTTTTGTTTTTGCTTTCACTTCCTTACCATGCACTTTTCATGAAATGATGAGTTGTTCTGTTCTGGTTTGTATTATGTATGTTTTGTGTGGGTGAGGACCCCAGGAAGAATAGCCAATGCTCATGCTAGTGCTAATGGGGATCCTAATAAAAACTAAACTAAACCACAGACAGGTGATTCAGTGTCTCCAGATGTTGGGGCTATCTCCAGTGTTCCCAGAATGTTTACGTCAGGCCTCGATATGTGGATTAACTCTCTATAAGCTAGTTAAAAGGTCTATCGAAAGAGAGGCTGGTCAGAATTGATGTGGCAACGCACCCGTGCAGTCAGAACATCTGGCTGCTGTGACTTGTGATATAAATTCTCCGGCCGATACTTGTAATAAACTACCAGTGTTTGACATCAAAGCTCCAACTCTCCTCGTGTCTCTCTGAGTCCTGACTCTCCATTGCTGCAGAAGTTTCCCTTACAACAAGGGGCCAAAGAAGAACTGTTCAAATGTCTTTTCATAGATTATATGTTAGACATTTCTAAAATAATAAAACACATTTATCACTGGTCTTCATGTGCCAAGGCAACATGGCCTGTCCCATGAGCCAATCCATGGATGTTGTTCTCCTTGCCAATAAGTAGTCCAGCACATGACTTCCACGTAAAACAGCAACTTGTCTTTTCCCACAGTTTAGTTTTTAGATTGAACACACTGCAGGGCTTCTAGCAGAAGGAGAGGACTGATAATTACAGCACTGAAGGTACTTTCTAGGGATTTTGAAGTGGGACAAAATAAAATAAATTCACAGATAGGGTGTTTTTGTCTTTGTGTATGTAGCCCTTGTCTTTGTATCCTGTCAAAGTGTGACCTCGGTAAGGGGAATCGCAGTACAGACTTACAAGTACAGGTGGATCATTGGCCTTAGTGAGGCAGGTACGCCTGGGACCTCATTACTGCTGCTCATCAGAGTTCTTTTTTTCGACAATGAGGTCTGAAAGCTGATAGACTTTGTTGCTGCTGATAGCTTTCTTTCCTCAATTCAATCTCTTCCTTACAGTTTGCAAGACCAGCTTTATGTATTCCCCCTGGCTTTTCCATCAAACACGTTGATAAGACACAAAGGAACAGTCAAACTTCCTTTTGAAAATGTGCTTCCTTTTTAAGACTGATCTGTGTAGTGTAAGAACAAAAACTATTTACACTCAGCAGTGGTGAGCCGGCAAGATACAGAATGCTCACACACGCTACAGTAAAATGCTGTTTTTAGCACAGTGGCTGTATTGTTTGGCTCCCATAAGTTCTGTGTTGATTAAACCTCTGTTGTGAAATGAGGCTAAGGATGCCGCTGTCATTCAGGAACCCAGCTTACATAATGAAATGATTGACACATCAAAGGTTGACTGGGAACCTTATTAAGCTTTTTCTGTGTGTTGTGGTGAAATGCTGCCTTATTATTGCGAGGTTGTTTTTAGCTGGATACCCTGCAGTCACGGCTCGGTGACAGTGATTGGCTTCTGATGATAAATTGTGTTTACACTGGCATTTTAACGGTAAAAATGGTCCATGTTAGTGTAGTGAGTTCGAACACTCGCTTACTCACAACTCACTGGTATAGCATTACAGTGTAAACTCCAGATTCACACACCTACACAAGTCAGGGAAGAAATCAGTGTCCGGAAACCTAATAGTGAAATCCACACAAATTACATAAAGTGATTGATCAGTACTAGAGCATGCTGGTAAATCTTTCATATACCCGAGACAGAAAAGTTGGCAAATCACATGATGGATATTTTCACAGACTTTTGCTCAAATTAGCAGTGGTGTGTTCAAACACAAAACCTTGTGTTTTCCAACTCGTTATCAGCCGCTAGCTAGGTCTCTACATTGGAGATGGATCAAATGGCCCCCGGCTTAAATAATTGACTGTCGCGTGTGTTTTGAGTTTAATGAGGCGGGGTGGTAGTTTGTGTAGATTCACATGGGAACAACAGGAAAATTGGCCACGTAGATTCCTCCATGTTTACTCGCCAGAATACATGCTCCCCACACTCCTCACACACATACAAATGCCTGTTGTCGTTCCAGTACTTTTTCATATCCTTTGTTGTTGCCTGTTTGATAAGACTGGAAGATATGTAGCAAATTGAAAGGGTCTTTGTTCCATGCAGTTCTGACAGAATAAACAAACAAACCTGCTTCTGCTGTTGTCAACAGGCAGATAACATGTGAGGATATGATAGTTGCAGAGACTGTGAAGCACATGTTCATTTGATAAAGAATATTGTACCTCATAGTTCCCTTATATATTATTGCTTCTCTTTTGATGCTTTAACTGCTCACTTAAAAGTAAAGATTAAGTCAGCAGGTTGTGAAGCTGACCGTTGAGCGGCCCGACCAAACAAGGTGGCAGAGGCAGAGAGTTCAAATATAACCCGGTGTGGGCATTTATTAATCATGGGCACATGATTCACAGCCTCAATATGACTGTCCTCCCTGACCACAGTCAGCAGCCACAAGGATCTCACACACACCCAGACTTCTTCTTCTTCTTCTTTAGTGTTTATTGGCGGTTGGCAAACCAAATTTTAGGTGCATTACCGCCACCAACTGGACTGGAGTATGGACAAGAGACTATGCAGAAAACAATAAACAAAATAAAACAAACAAAAAACAACAAAATAAATAAAACCAAAACTCTAGATTATTTTAAATTGATCAATTTCTCTAAGAAACGTAATAAGCTCACAATACATATTGCCTGATGTTTTCCCTAACAGCCCTGATAGCGAAAAGTCAATGTATTTTGCTTTCTTCAGTGTTTGGAAAAGCACATTTCTCTGAATACTATATTTCCTGCAATGCAGCAAAACATGTTCAACCGTTTCTGGCTGGCTACCCGCATGCGGAGAGGGCTTGTGGTTGTAGTCGCTGTTCTAGTAACCCTGGCAATCACTTGACTTGGACTGTGTTGGTCTTGTAGTAGAAATATTGTGTGTAAGTTGGCAGTATCCATGTCAATGGGGTGTGTGCCGTGAAGCCTTCCTCTCTGTTACACCGCCAATTTTGTACATTCCGACTACGTACTTATTATACTTAGTGTATGTGTATGGCCTTCACTTCATTCTATATATCCATGCGCTGTTTGTCCAGAGTCTATGATGTAGAGTGTCTGTGTGGTTTCACAT